TGAGGTCACGCCACACTCCAGACGACAAGTACTCTCCCACCCGACAACCGGCAAAACGCTGTCGTAAGCCAGCCGCTTTTGCGGCAGCCGACCGCGGAGATCGAGCGCGCCGCGTGCGCGGAGATCGACATGGCGAGGCGACCGTCATCCCGTACGATGCCGCTGGCGCGTCGGCGCGAGCCTTCGGCTCGGTGGAGGGCTCCACGCTCGGCGCGGCGGAGGTGCGCCGGACTGCACCACCCCCGACTCGGAGCGGTGCAGCTCTCTCTCTCTCTCTCTCTCTCTCTCTCTCTCTCTCTATGAAAACCGGGCGGGGGTGTGCATTTCATATGAGGAGGCGTGCGCTGTCATATGAGGGGGCGTGCATGGGGGCGTGCCCCCGGAGCACCGCCCCCGATCGGGAGTGGTGCAGTTCATAGGCGGGGGTGGTGCACGGGGGCGTGCCCCCGGAGCACCGCCCCCGATCGGGAGTGGTGCAGTTCATATGAGGGGGCGTGCATGGGGGCGTGCCCCCGGAGCACCGCCCCCGATCGGGAGTGGTGCAGTTCATAGGCGGGGGTGGTGCACGGGGGCGTGCCCCCGGAGCACCGCTCCGGTGTCGGGAGCGGGCCGGGGGCGCTTTCCCACGGGGGCTGCCTTCCCACGAGCGGGCCAGATCTGCAACGCAGTTTGTTGCATACGAATTCCGGTGGAGGGCGCAGATCGTGCGAGCCAGATGCCGGCGCCCGTCAGCAGATCGGGTCGGCAGCTGCGAGCATTCTCGAGCGGCGCGGCGAGGCGGCGCGAGCTAAGGTGCGTGATGCGGGGCGAGCAGATGGGGACCCGGCCGCCCCGGAGGAGGAGGATGGCAGCTTCGCACGAGTCCATCGACGTCACGACGATCAACTGGGCCGAGGACGCGGCGCGCGAGCTGAAGGCGCACGTGTACACGACGCTCAAGCTCCCTCCCGACCTCGGGAAGCGCGTCCAGCAGCTCTACGGCGATGCCGAGAGAGCGTTCGACGACCGCGCGTCGAGGCGGCAGCTGCGGGTGCCCGAAGACGACCGGGACGACCTGGACGCGCGGAACGGCTTCATCGACGACCGGAAGCGCGAGTGGCTCGAGCTGCACACCTCTATCCCCGCCGACTTTGGCGGCCCGGTCGACGCGCCTCCAGCCACGCGCCTCCTCGAGTGCGCCTGCGCGGTGGAGCACGCCTTTCGCGCCCTGTGCCAGCAGGTGCTCGAGGTGCTCGCGCGTTCTTCGCCGCCGCTCGCGGCGCTGGTGGCGGAGGAGGCTCGCTCTCCGCTGCCGCCGCCTGGTGCGCGCGAGAGCTCGCGAGGCTTTGCCGAGTCGATGCTGCGCGTGTACAGGCAAAGCGAGCGCCGCCACGCGCCGCCTCGCTCCGCGCACGAACACCGCGCGCGCGCGGTTGTCGTCGCAGGTATGACTCCAGCTTCCGGCAGCGCGAGGGCGAGGGCCACTACGACATGGGCCTCCTCACCCTCATCCCGCGAAGCACCAGCCCCGGCCTGCAGATCAACGAGGTAAAGACCTCCCCACCTGCCCACCCCACCCCGCACCGTCCCCAGGCTTTCACGCCCGAGGGCGAGTCGCGGGCCATCCTCTGCCCGCCCGGCGGCAAGCAGCCCATGCTGCGCGGCCTCTGCGTCGGCCCGCGTGGCCGCATCTACGCGGCCGACCGGTGCAACGACCTCATCCACCTGATCCAGCTCCGCAG